TAATTAATTTAAAATGTAATTCCAATGTCAAAGCTTTGGGGTAATTTTTGTTTAATTTTATTTATAATAAATTTTCATATTATTCATTTGAAACATCATCTGAACAACTTGCCAATCCGTTAATTTTTAACGTAAATGGTCTAGGGTCCTTCCAATTTATCAAATACAGCATAGTGTTTGGGACAAAAATTTTTTTATATACAAAGTCCCCCTATATAGTCACTATCACACTTAATTGTAAAACACTATATTAGCACATATAAAGAAAATACCCTCCATGCAATCACCGGCCAATTGAATTTATGAAAAACTATTACTGTATACTAAAAAGAGTAACATTTTTAAAAAAGGATTGATTGATTTTTAACAATTATAAATATGTCACGAGGGCTTTTTTAATGACAATTTTTCATATTCAATTTGTACAATGTAGATTCTCTACCCTTAAAAGAATTTTTTTGGCTTCAAAAGGATTAGTTGATTTCTTTAAACAATAAATTATTTCGTTAATTAAAATTATTATTTCTTGTTTTTCAAATTTATAATATAATAGTAAATAAATATAAATAAATACCTTATTAATAAAATATTGTTTACAAAATAAATCAAACGGCAAAATCTCAAAAATATTTAAAAATGGATAAATGCAGTTTCTGATACAATTGAATATGGACAGCACAATAAAGTTCCAGATGGAATGCCTTTTAGGCAATCTAATCTTACAAAAAAAGGAGAGGGATTTAGATATTCAGAACCAAATAAATTGCGCTAATAGTCGAGTACTGGTGCAATCTTAGGACATAAAAAAGTAAATTTATTGATTCATTATCTTCAAATCTTTTTTTTTTTTAATGAAGAATAAAAATCACGTTTCAGTTTTACTTGTGCTAATGCAAAAGACACCCATAAATTTGCTCCTTGGTAATTGGGAAACCTCAAAACTTGCATTGTTTTACAGGCATCAATAAATATAAACACCCTGTTACTTATTATACAAATTCAAAAACTTGAATGAGGTCGGACATTTCTATTGAATAGGCTCAATTATCATGATAGATGTTTGATAATGCTGTGCTGGGCCATACTTTAATCCAATGAAAATTTTAACATTGCGGATAATCCTAGTGAAAGTAATTCAGAGCCAGTCACTGAATCATCTCAGAGAAAAAAAGTTAATACAGGTCAAGCATTAAAAAAAAAAAAAAAAGAGTAAGAAACATGGAAGAAGAACACCAAATATTAATCTCAAAAATATTAGGCCTTTTTACTTTCTTCCTAACACCACAACGCGGGCTCGGTACGATTCCCCGACAACCGTTTCCCGACAGTATGTTTTCCCGAAAACTCAATAATGGTCGGAAAAGAAACATTATGATAAACTGATATATATAATGTATTAGAAAACGTCCCGTCGGGAAAACGATCGGAGAACATCCTGCCGGGAAAAAATTTGTCTGGGAAATGATTGTCGAGGAAATGGGCGCAACCCTTTACAACCAATGGTATCATAAATATATTAAATATTTGATTCGTCGTCTTGATACTAGAACAGATAACCAAAAGTGTGCAATGTAATAATATTTTTTTAAGTTCAATTATACTAATGATTTATATTTAGAGATAAAAAAAAACCATTGATTTTATTGCTGGTGCCTGGGGTAATGTTACTCAAACAAACCATTCGGAATTGTTGGATCAAAGCAAGATTTCTTCCAAATAGTGATGATATCATTATAGTGGATGTAAATATCCAAGATCTAGAATATTATGATAGTGCTAATTCCATAAATGCATTGTTAGATGCTAATGATGTGAATGAATATTTTGATATTTTTGATCAAGATGTATCAACTGAAGAGGCCTTAATAGCGAACAAATTATAAATCTTGTACAATTTGAAATGAGAATGATAATGATTCATCATCAGATGAGGAAATACCTTTGATACCAGTAAAAAATGCAATTAATGGTTTAGAATCATTTATTGACAACAGAAAAATGTAAGTCTGATGATTTGCATAGAAAATATTTAGATTTATGGAATCAAAAATTCAAACATTCATGAATATTTTTAAAAAAATAACGTAAGCTTTGAGTATTAGTTTTCTATGTGAATTTTATTCTTTATTCAATATCACGCTGTGATGGCATTTAATAAGATGCGCGACTATATATCTATATCTTCTATATCACATCTTTACCTGATCCCAAGGGGTGTGCTTATAATAAAAAGTTGAGAAATTTTAATACATCTTTGTATCACCCAAAATTTCACAGATCACAATTTTTCCGACATTACAATAATAAATAATAAGAATAAAAAAAAAATTTTATAATTTACTATCTTGTGGGTACGATAGAGCATTATCGGAAGTTGCTACTTCAACTCAAATGAATAGAAAACGTTGTAATATTAAATCTTGGGACAGAAATTGATAATTTCATATATAAAAAATATCAAGAAAAGCCTTCTCAATGGCAACTACACGCATAGCATACTTTTTATTAAGTAATAAAATATTTTTTTTTATTTCATGTTTTCTGGCATTTATCTGGTTGTTAAAAAATAAATAAATGCGCCCGAGATTTTATTAATATTAATATTAAAATTCCGTAAATGATCTGCCAATTAAAAATTTTAATTTTTTAATCTTGATCACTCAATTTTTAATTAATTGTAAGAAAAAAAAAGGTAAATATTTAAAATCATAAATAATAAATATTATAGATGATGGATTTTATATAAGGACAATTCCAATGATGTTATTTTATTTTAGCATGTATTACCTTAGGTTTTTTACATTTTTTTGTGTTTGAAACTATGAAGAAAATAATTTATAATTTTCTGAGGAATTATTTATTATTTAATCAATATTTTATTTTTATTTTTATAAATAAACTTTATTTAATTTTTTAATTTATAAAAATTTTTTTTTCTAATTAGATCTAAAATATATTTATTTATACTCATGTCATCAAATTTGTCAAATTTATCTTTTGGTTTTGGAAGTAACATCTATAAACAAACAAATTTTGAAAAAGGAGAAGAAAATATTATAATAAAAAAGCCAATGAAAGTCACCAATGTCAATAAAATAATTTGGGCAAATATGTATTCGACTTTGGGTTATTGTTGTACTAATAATAATAACAATGATGGTGATGATGATGATCATGATAATAACACATTGAAAATCTTTGGATTTGATGTTTTGTTTAATAAGGAGGAGGAAGAAAAAATAATTACACCAACAGCATTAGAAAATCTTAATAAACCAAAAAGGTTTTTTGGTAATGATCTTTACGGTTTAATAGGTTATGTTGATATTAATGGAAATCTTTATAAATTGGATGATCATAAAAAAAAATGCTTTGATGTTGATGATGGTAATATTAATAATAAATATAATATTAATATCATTGATATTGATCAATTTTGGAATGGTGATGAAGCAATTTTTGTAACTGGTAAATTAAAGAAAATCATATTTATAAGGATTTCAGTTAATTAGTTAACTTATTATTTATTTTTATTTAAAAAATTTTTTTTTGAGAGAGAGGATGGGAAATTATGGAAATGGAACATCAAGAATGATAATTTACAAGAAATATTATTACCATTCTCACCATCGCCACCTTTAAATATTATATTCAAGAAAATTTCTTGTGGTGAAAATCATTGTTTAGCATTAACAAAGCAAGGTGAAGTTTATAGTTGGGGTGATGGAAGGTAAGACGTGCATGCATATATATAAAATTTAATCATTTTTCTTCTTCTTGATAATAATCATTGTTATTATTAGATATGGTCAATTAGGGCATGGTGATTTTAGATCTTTGAATAAACCAAAAGTCATTGAATTTTTTCAAGGATTAAAAGTTACTCAAATTGCATGTGGAGGTTTACATTCTGCTGTGATTACAGGTAAATATAAGTTAATCTAATTCAATCTAATTAATTAATTAATTAATCTTCATCCATTATCATAAAGATTCCGGTGACTTGTATACCTTTGGATGGAATAATCTTGGTAGGTTGGGTGTAAAGTCAAATACTACTAATACATCTATTCCATGTTTGATCGAATTTAATAACGATGATGCTGATTATGATGAGGAAGAGGAAGAGATTAATGTGTTGAAGGTTGCATGCGGAAGTGCTCATACTGTTGTCATCACAGGTAGATTACTATTTTAAATATATTTACTTTTTTATATGATGTAGAAGAATTCATTGAGAATTTTTTTCTTTTCATCTAGATGATAACAAATTATGGACTTGTGGTTGGGGTATTTAATTATAATTATAATTATAATTCCAATAATTATATTATTAATTAATTAAACACCCTACTCATTTTTTTAATTTCCTTTGATACTAATAATAAAAGGTAAATATGGACAACAAGGTCTTGACAATCTAAATGATAATTTTACCTTCACTCGTATTGATTGTGATTTTTGGAATCGGAAGAATAAAAAAATAGATGATTGTTATTGTGGACGTTGGAATACTTTTATCATGATCTCAGATTTCCTTGATAATAATAATAATAATAATAATAAATAACGAATGATAGTTAATATTTATACTCGAAAGTTATTACGTCATTATCAAAAAACATGTTGTAAAAAGTCTAAAAATTATACTTTCTTTTATACTCAATTTGTATATTATTTATAGTATTGATTTTTTACTCCATTGTTTTCCACTCTTCTCTTTTTTTAAAAAAAAACAATTCCTCTAATTAAAATAATATAATTAATCTTCCCAAAAAGCAAATTTTCTCGTATCTATTATTTATCTTTTATTATATAATAATAATGTCACGTCAAAGTGGAAGAAGTCGTTTTAACAACAACTATCGTAGTCGTAGTGGACGTGGTGGCGGATTTCGTGACTCGCGAATTTATTATGGCAATAATAACAACAATAGTCAAGGACGTTATTATTTTCAAAATATTCCAAATATTCCAGCAGTAAATTTTAATCGTAATGATAATCATAGTTTATCACCAATTAATAATAAAAATGGTGCTGCTGTTTACAATGGTCAGGGTATTATTCTTTCGAACGATAATAACAACAATGGAAACGAAGGTAACAACGCATTTATTTATTATCATTAAACCAATCAATTTAATATTAATAATAATTAATAAAATATCAGGCATTTCTACTACATCTTCTAATAACGCTACCAATATCAACAATTTATCACAACAACAACTACAACATAGGCATAAAAATAATAACAATAATAAATCACCACGTTGGTCTACCAACGACGATATAAAGCTTCTCCAATATATTTGTAGTCATTATGATCAATACAAACAAAATAACTTAAATTTCTTTCGTAATCTTAGTGAACACAGTGAACAAATATTTGAACATAAAAGAAACGCGAACAAATCAGAGGAAGACTGGCTGCAATTATTAATCTTTATTATAATAAAGTAAATATTTTCGACGCGGTTGAAGAATTTCTTGATTTAGAGGAAGGCTTTAATCAACAGCAAGATATATCATCTTCATCACCAAACAATAAGAACATCAATAACGGAAATGACAACAATAAGAATTATCATAAAAACAACAACATCATTGATGAAACTAACAATAATAAATGCATTTCCGATAAAATTTTAACCAACGCTAACGCTGACAATCTTACCCTTAAAAAACTTGCTCAATCATTGTCACATTTAAGAACACCAATTACAGAATTATCAACAACGACCATTACTACCGCCACGAATAATAATCCAACTAATACCGCCGCTACCATCACCACCACTTCTTCTCCTCTTAACAATCAAATTGATTCTAATAACAATGCTGATAACGCTACTAATGATAATAATAATATTACTGCAAATATGGAATTTAATGAATTATTAACTTCGACATTTGATCAACGTGGGGGTATTGATGATAATAAAACAAATATAGATGTAGATTTAAAATCAACTTCTACCATTATTATTCCGAATGTCGGCAATGGTTCTTATCCGCCTACTATGACACCATCACCACCTCCTCCACCAATTACTGGTGCTAGTACATCAGAAGAAATAGAAATAAAATCAAATGTTGTTGTTAATATTAGCAACATTGAAAATGTCGAAGAAAATGATAATGCAAATTTTCGACCAAAAACTTTAGAAGAATCTATTGTCGAAAAAGTTCATTCTTCTGCTTCAACAACCCCTAATGATTCACCAAAAACCTTAATGAGCCAACAACAGGAACAACGACTTATAATTCCTTATGTATCACCTCCGCCAGCTCTTTCACCAGTCTTTTCAACATTGTCCTCAACAAAAACTTTTAATCAAAAAGAAGATGAAACTGCTACAATAACAAAAGATTCAGATAAAAATTCTAATTCTAAACCTCTTTCTCTCTGCAATAACAATAATCATAATTGTTATCAACTTCTACCATCATCCTCCAATTATGGTGACACCAGTAATATTAATATTAATAATATTATTATCGATAATTTACCTAATGCGCCCACCAAACAAGATTACGACGTGATTATTGATAACATTAAAAATCAAATATTTTTAATTGAAGAATTATTTCAAAAAGAAAAAATTCGTTACGAAACAAGATTTAATTATTTGGATTCAATAATTGATTTATTTCTTCAAATGCAAAATCAATTAAACAAAATGAAATTGTAAAATTTAAAAATTATCTTGCTTAATATAGATCGAAATTTCTTTTTAGTTAGAAGACGGAAAAATTATTATTCTTTTTATAATTAATATTTACAGTAATATTGTAATTAAATCTTAAGCGACATCTAAAAGATACAGAACAAGCAGATTTACATACTATTAGCGAACAAAAAATTATATTTCTAAACGTTATTGTTATTATATGTTGTTCTCGTTAAAAATTTCAATTTAATACAATGTTTGTTATTAACATTTATGTTGGTTTAATTCGATTTTTTTATTATTTATTACTTTTTAGATGCGTAATAATTTTATTATTGCCTTTTCAATATTTCCATTGAAATGTAGGCCGTAATCATTGCTGCTTTTTTAATCGTCCTAATTTATCCCTTAAACGGTGAATATTTATTTAATAAATACAGTCATACCTCTTTTATATCCCCCCTTTTGTTTTGGGATTTTTGTGGGATATAACTAAGGTGAGATATAATTAAAGCAATTGATAATTCACGTGACTTCAATTTTTTATAAAATTTAAAAAATTTTATTTAATATAACAATAAAATTAATAAAATTCTGTCAACAAAGACTGAAGTTTTGCCTTATCTTCAATATTATTTAAACATTTTATTAACTCTTTAACATACTTAACATCTTTTTCTGTAGCAAATTCTTGTTCCAAGGATTTTTTAGCATTTTCAAGTACTTTCCTTCCTTCTTCTACAGATATTACTGGTCCTTCCTTGCTCTCTTCACTCACATCTTCCCTCTTCAACATGAACACCTTCTGAAATGAGAATGTCTTCAACAATAACTTCATCAGTAGGTAATTCAGTTGTTATAACATCTGAATCAATAATAATAAATATTAAAATAAAACAAAGATAAAAAAAATATTATCCATAACGATTTTAACCATTACACATATTATCCCTAAGCCAAAACAAAGTTCTTTTATACATATAAAGAAGATACATTGCTACAACTGCAAAAAGAAAATTTTTTTTATTGTTAAGAAACAAGTCATCATCAAAACAATCAGAATAATTGATAACTAATTTCTTTTGTTTTTGAAAGAATCAACCAATTTTTTTAAAAAATGTCAGCAAGTAAGAAGAATACTTGATAATCAATTCCTTTGTTAAAAATACTGCCTAAAAAAAAGAATAATTTGACAATTAGTTTCTTTATCATTAAAGGAATAACCAGTTATCACAAAAAAAAAAAACAATAATTGACAATTATTCTTTGTTAAAGGAATAAACCAAATCACTACCTAAAAATACCTTCTTCATTAAAGGAATGCAAAAATTACCACCAAGAAAACAATAGTTAATAATTAATTCTTTGTTGTTAAAGAAATCAACCAAGTTGCCACCAAAAAAAACTGTCAAAAAAGAAAATATATTAATTTTATGTATATAAATTGTAAGTTACACATGTATATCATTTACCAATAAGGTTAAAATGGGGATAGGGATATAACTTGATGGAATATAAACGAGCATGGTGGACATTCGAATGTTGCACCAATTTTTTATGCCGTGTAACGTAATTTTTAAAGTAAGAAAACTGTGCGCTCAATTAAAATGGGTATACGTTGATATGTAACACATACTGTAACTTTACAGAGATATTCTTTAATTTTTTTTAACTTAATTCCAGCTGCATCCATTGGCATCCGCAATTTTGACATACTTTACTTAGTACTAACATTTCCATATGTTATCTATTAATATTTTATATGTATAAGAGTTAGGTTCTAGATTTCTTTATTGACTTCTATGATAAAATCAATCACCTTTTTTTATTAGGAGCATCTAGAGTATAGTATTGTGTCATGGTTAAGGTTTCTGGTCGAAACTGCTTCTATTAGTAGCCGAAATTACCCAAATACTTTGGGCAAAAATTATTTTTTTATAAGCCCAAACTACTTTTTGTTATTAGTCGAAATTGGGCAAAATTATTTTAAAGTTGTTTAAGTTAAAACAAGTTGATTCATATAGTTTTTTAATGCTCATGCTTATAAAAAATGTTGAGAAGCCCAAATTGCTCAAACTAGTTTGGGCTTTGAGAAAACAGTTTGGACCAGAAACCTTAGTGCTTACTCCCCACCCCCCAGGTAAGACATTTTGATCACGTGTATGACAATTATTTGCCTTTTTAGGTATCAAAAAAGCACAAACAAAAAAAGAATTAATTCGTGATCTGTGAAACATCTGCAAAATTTTCATAACAGAATTTGGTGCAAAATTTTGCAGATCACTAATTAAAATTTTCTGGACTCCAACTTTCACCCCCAACATAACCACCCTTTATGTTGATATAACTAAAATTGTACTTTTAACACATGATATGAATCTTGAAGTTTAAATATACAAATTTTCAAAGGGATTTTCTTATAAAATATTTTATGTTTATATGTAGGAATTGCTGGATTCCTGCCTAAAATTACTATATAAAATTTAAAGGTTTGAGTAAGCAACTAAAAATATTTATGATGTAAAAATGGGTGTAGAATTAATTTTATCCAAGAAAAATATAAATATGTTATTTCTATTTAGTTTTTAATAGTTACTCTTTTTAAAATAAAATAAAAATTGTCATGGTTGTGTAATTTTCTTGACTCACGTTGGTCACATGAGGTAATGTCAGATTCTCAAAACTCCTGAAAATTATAATGTTTATTATCGCCACAAAAACATATTAATGATCGGCAAATTTTTGCAGTTGTTTCACAGATTACGAATTAAGCTTAATTGATTAATTCTACAAATGTAGCATGATAATGAAATAATGGGTAAAATCACTTACAGAACTTTGAAAATTTGCATTGTAATTATTTCTAACTTTTCTGATGAATCTATCCACTCTTCAGAAGCTACTGTGAGCATGTAATTTCTTATTACAAAATCAAGGGGTGTCTGATAAAATATATAGTAATAAATATGTGGAAGTCCAGTAATTATGAAGTTCTCCACTCTGCACACAGCTAGGAGTTCTAACAGTGCAATTACTCTAGTGCTACAGACACAGCCCAAATCCGATACAGTTCCCTTAGTATCACAGGCACACAGCCCAAAAAGAATAATAAAAAATAAATATTTACAACTATACCACTTGAGGCATCCCTACAAGCAACATGAAGATATTAAAGGTATTCCTAACTAATTATTAAAGGCTGATCAAACCAATAATCATCAGAAAGAATCATGGAACAATTCATGATTAAGGTTTCTGGCCGAAACTGCTTCTATTGGTAGCCAAAATTGCCCAAATACTTTAGGCAAAAAATTTTTTTTTATAAACCCAAACTACTTTTTGTTATTAGCTGAAATTGGGCGAAATTATTCATATAGTTTTTTAATGTTCATGCTTATAAAAAATGTTGAGAAGCCCAAATTGCCCAAACTATTTTGGGCTTTGAGAAAATAGTTTGGACCAGAAACCTTATTCATCCTCTTTAACTATGCAAAAATCCATAATAAGGTAAAATGTATTTATTTAATTATTAATTACGGGGAGAGGGTTTATTATTAGATTGTTATAGATTATTATGAACATGATCCTTCTAACTTGGTCTAAACCCAAGTTTATATACCTACCTCTTGGGGTATTGCAAATAGCATGACTTACAGTATTTTGTCCAATAAAATATGCTTATTATTGATACTTTTTGTATTACTTGCTTACTAATTAATGATTACTGATGCTAAGTAAATATTTATGTCAAATGAGTAATACAATAATATATAAGTAGGAATATGGTTCAAGTCATCTATAAATGTCACAGTCTGAAATTTAAAATTTTAGAAGATTTTCTAATTTAAGTAATTAGATTTCTTTTATTAGAAAGATTTTCTGTATCACTAAAAATTTTTAAGCCAATCATCAACCTTTTAGAAAATCACAAGGGAAGATCATTCCGAAATTTTAAAGATATACAGTATAATATTACACGATATGCAGTAACCGTTACAATAAATATATCGTTGATCATATTTGTATATAGTATATACATCACATGAATACTGTTTTAGTTTGTTCTAATTGGTCAACATTATCTGGGACAATTGGTTGGTCTGCAATTTACGATCTCACACTACTATATGAGGTGATAACATTGTCCCTTCCATAAGAATATGACTCTCTTCCTCAAGAGTAAATTTTTCACAAAGATTGTTTAATATTAACCTTTAATCTTTTTTTATTATAAATTTATCAGCTCCCTCCTACAAGAAAAGCAATAAATAAGAAAAAGCATGTTCAAGCTCAGATAAATTATTTTGTCATTACCTGAAATATATTACAAAGTTCTGGCAATAACATAATTATAGGTTCAGATCCATAGTCCAAATTTCCAGGAACATGCTGGGTGGCCATATCCCAATTTTCTCACATCTAATATATCTAATTTATTTTTTACCCTTCCCACATCTTGTACTGTAATCCAGAACATTTTATCATTACTTAAATTTGACATTATTGTAAACATTGTGATTCAATAAAAAAACAATTATATAAGGATTATGTTTACTGATTGTGTGTCGCCTTGATATTCTCTTCTGCTTGACTAATCCAAGAAGGATAATAACAAATTTTGGAAAAATTTTCTAATTACTCAAACTATCTGCTAAACCAAGATTGTGCTTATTTTAAATTTAATTGATAAAAGATATTATTTAGTGGTGGTTGACGAAATTATTTTTGAAAAAAAAAGTAATTTCATCCAATATATAACATCAGGAAAAAATTATACATTCAGTGCAAATATTATATAATTTTTATGGAAAAATTACAACATTCCATATTAAAACTTACAAATGTGTTATTACAGCGAAAAATTTCCTGATGAATAAATATCTAAATCAATCTATTTTATTTTAAAAAACTTTGCCCAATTTCAGCCGTTAAAATTAGTTTCGTACAAGTTAATTTCAGCAATTTCGGCCCACTAAGTAAGATAGTTTCGGCCACCATTAAAGACACTTTCCGTAAATAAT